AACTTTTCAAACAACTCGAGAGAGCGAGCTAACACCGAACTGAACTGCTTGACGATCAAGCAGAGGATCATGACAGACGATGAAGATCGGCTTTTTTTTTTTTTTTTTTTTTTTTGCATTTAAATGATCTTTATTTCTTGTGATTGTGTGGTTTACATGTATGAATTTGTTAAGTGACACAGATTCGTCTTTTCAACTTTGGTACATTTGAGATTTTAATTATTATTTACAGTTCCTAGTCCTATCAGGCCTATTTTAAAGTATGACCACCTTGGTGGGATTGGTTTGATTTGAATTGGAAAAAGGAGACTACTTATAACTCCTATTTACAACTACAACTAACCTACAACTACTATGTACACCTAACCTACTATATACAAATTGCTTATCAAAGCATGTTCTGATAAATTACATTTTTGTGTAAATTTAGTCTTAATTTCGTTAATTTTGGAATCTATTTTGGCAATGCCTGCCTCTTCATGTAAATTTGTTATTCTAGTGTCGAAAGGACGATCAAGAACCATCCTCAGCACTCTATTCTGAGCTACCTGAATTTTGTTCCTGTGAGTCTGTGCACATGATTCCCACACCGGAGCTGCGTAGAGGATCGCAGGTGCTATGATTTGTTTGTAGACAGCCAGTTTGTTCACCCTTGAGAGGCGGGATCTGCGGCAAATCAGCGGATACAGACTCCTAACCAAGGCGGAACACTTGACTACGGTTTTCTCCACATGCGAGCGGAATAGGAGCTTTTCGTCAAACAACATCCCGAGATCGGTTACTTCGGCGGACCACTCAACCCTTGTGCCATCCATGATTACAGTACAAGAGGGAGCCGGTTTTAGTTTGGGTGATTGCCGATGGAGGAACATGATTGTTTGTGTTTTGGAAGCATTGATTTTGATTTTCCACGTGGTGGCATAATCAGCAAAGGCGTTAAGGCATCGTTGAAGTTTGTTCGTTATTTCGCGAGGCATCCTTCCTTTGACGGCTATTGCGGTATCATCTGCGAACAGGAAAAACACGCAACCGTCTCCAAGGGGAGGAATGTCGGAAGTGTAAACGCTGTAAAGCAAGGGTCCCAGCAGACTGCCTTGCGGGACTCCTGCTGGGATGGAAAACGTGTCGGAAAGACAACCATTCAACGATACCTTAAACGACCTTTGCTGGAGGTAGCTACGGGTGATTTTAACCAGATGTAATGGAAAGTTGAAGTTACAAAGCTTGTATACAAGCCCATTGTGCCAGACATTATCAAACGCTTTCTCAACGTCTAACAATGCCATGGCTGTGGACTTGGATACAGCTTTGTTACTTCGGATGTTATTCATCACCCGTAGTAGCTGGTGATTGGTGGAGTGCCCCTTTCTGAACCCAAACTGTTCCGGAAGGAGAATGTTATTTTCCTCGACAAACTTGAGCAAACAATTGAGAATGAGTTTCTCGAACAATTTGCTCAGCGCTGAAAGGAGACTGATTGGTCTGTAGCTTGAAGCTAGCGTTGGGTCCTTCCCGGGTTTGCGGATAGGTATGATTTTCGCTGTCTTCCAGATACTTGGAAAGTAGTGCAGTTCCAAGCATCTGTTGAAGACAGCAGCCAGCAGAGAGTGAACCTTCATGCTGAGATTTTTCAACACTAGGTTGAATATTCCGTCAAACCCAGGGGCCTTCATGTTTTTGGTGCATTTCAGCGCTGAGCAAATCTGTTCCACTGTGATTCTATCCTCCGGAGGGATGGCACAAGGGGAGGAATCAAGGTTGAGTACGCATTGCTCAACCTGAACTTCGAGCGGACTTTGGATGTTGGAGCCAAGCAAGTGCGATTTGGCAATATGCTCACCAATCGCATTTGCTTTCTCCTGAGGGGTGATTATGAGCCGATCGTCATCATTTTCATCTTTTAGTGGCGGAATGGGCTTAGGGTGCGTCTTTAAGACCTTGGCAACTTTCCAGAATGGTCTGGAGCGGTCGTCCAGATTCTGGACAAGCCGCCCGAAACTTTCGTTCCGGAGTGAGACCATTCTGGAAGCAATCTCCTTGTTCAGATTGGCCATTTCACGTTTCCTCGCTAGATCTCCAGTCCTCTGAAACTGGCGTCTACGAACATTTCTCAGGCGAATTAAGAGTTGGGTGTGAGAATCAATGGCAATAAACTTACCCCTCACTGGAACTCGTCGGACGCACGCCTCGTCAGCCACGGTTATGGCTTGGTGGAGTACTTCCAACGCTCGGTCGATGTCCTCCACGGAGTCAAGCGGCGGGTTGTCGATGATGTGCCTGTCTACCACGCGTCCAAACTGGGCCCAGTTTACGCGATGGTAGTCCTTGCGCAGGCTTGGAGCAGCAGCTATGTTGTATCCCAGTTCAGCCACCACCGGTTGATGGTCGGAGCTGAGTTCGTTTAAGGCTACCGGCTTGGACAAGCCGGTATTTGAAAGAAACAGGTCTAGCGTCGATGGGTTGCCTGCCGGTGAGATGAATGTTGGCTCGTCCGAGAACCAAACGGAGTACAGCCCATGCTGCGAACGGTCGAACAGCAGACGACCGTTCTGGTTCTGCTGGTAGTTCCGCCATGCCTCATGACGAGCATTCAGATATCCTCCAACAACGAAGCGGGAACCGGTACGGGTGATGGTGGACAGGTCCTTCTTAAATTTTGCCGCTAGTCCACTGCTGGCGGCACACTGTCGAGGGCAGTAGACGGCGATGAACTGGACGTATCCAGTCGACGACTCCACCTCCACACCAAGGGCCTCGATGATAGAGGTGCGGATATGGGACAGAGTGTGATATTTTATTCCTTTCTTGACGACGACCGCAACACCACCCCCCCTGGAGCTGGTGCGATCAAGCCGGATAATGTTGTGGTCAGGCAACCAGAAGCTGTCGCCGGACTTTAGATGGGTCTCGGTTAGAAGGCCCACGTCGATGCTGTGCTTGCGGAGGAAGTCGGCAAGCTCAATCTCTTTTGCCCTTACAGAGCAAGCATTCCAGGTGACGATAGTTAGCGGTTTAGACGCCATACTGGATGATGAACTTACCGAGCACCTGGATCTGTTCGGGCTTATTGCGGCACTTACGAAGAGCACCGGACATGTTGACGAAAATTTCCATCAGTTCATCCGCTGAGAACAGATCGGGGTTGTTGTTTTGCGCTGTTGGTTGTCTCCAGAATCCAGGGGGGGATGGAGAGCTTTGGCCAGCAAAATCACCGGAAGCTTCTTGAGGGGGGGCGGGTTGAACCCGCGAATTCGCTTGCCTTTGCTGGGGAGCACGAAGAGGCGGAAAATCCTCCGTCCTGAATGCTGGGGTTTTGTCCTTCTTGCGTCCTGGTTGATTGTTGCTTGACGCCTGCTTTCGGATGCGTTTGAAGTCCTCGCGTTTGGAGCACTGTCTGTCGGAACCTTGATGTGCACCACCACAGTTAGCGCATTTTATCGCCACGGCTCCATCCGCAGGGCAGTTGGAAGTGGCGTGTTCTTGAGCGCAGTTGCTGCAGCGTGGCTTGATGTTGCAGTTGCGGGTACCGTGTCCAAAATTGAGGCACCTCTGACACTGCGTTACGTCACGATGGCCGCCACGGTATGGCTCCCACCGTACGATGATGGAGCAGATTGATCGGATGGCTTGTAGCGCATTGAGCGTCACCGTCCCTTTCTGGAAGTGCACCAGGAAAAGACAATCCGGGTACGTCTTCACGTTTTCGTCTCTCCTTGTCATTCGGAAGACAGCGATTGGGACAAGCTTGTACCGGTTGATTTCAGCTTCGACCATCTTGGGGTCGAAGTTTGGTAGACCCCTGATGACTACCTTGAAGGGCTTCTCACCGGGGATGTCGTGCGTGAAGAATTCCGCCTTGGTATCCTTCAGATATTTCACGGCCACTTCGTACTCCGCTTTTGTTCGGAGCATCACCTTGGTGCCGATCCTGCCGAGCTTAAACTCAGCTGCAACGCCCAGCGATGAAAGATCGCCAATCAGCGTGTTGAGTGGGACTTGCTTCACCACCAGTGGAGGAAGCTTCATTTTTGCTGCACTCGGGGTGGCAGCAGTTTCGTTGTCGACGGCGTCACCGAAATCACCAATGACGCTGACGTTCGTTGCTGTGACGTCATCACGTCCACTCGCACCATCGGACTGGCCTTGATTTTTCTTCCTCTTCTTTGACCGCTTCACCGTGGCTGAGGTGGTATTCCCTACATCGGTGGGAAGAGTAGCGTACCTATTCGAAATAGGTACACTCAAGCTACCCTCACCGCTGTTCTTCTTCTCCGTTTTCTCTCGGAGCCTGCTCCGGGAGCGCTGTCTTCCCATCACACGAAGCGACCGACACTACTGACGACTCGATTAAACTGCGAATGTTTGGAACAAACTAGAAACTTTAGAACAACTCGACAGAGCGAGCTAACACCGAACTGAACTGCTTGACGATCAAGCAGAGGATCATGACAGACGATGAAGATCGGCTCGACGACGCCAATCTTATATAGTGGCTGCTGACACGTGATTGGTTAGTTGCATTATCCAATCAGGTTGCAACACGTGGTGGTAACTTCTAGAATTTTTCATGCGAGTTGTGCTTCGCTAGGATGTTGACAAAATGAACCATTAAGTCAAGGCATCTATTTTCAGATAGATGGTTCTGTTCCATTGGTAGTAAGTAATAAAATTCTGAGACCTCCACGGATACGGTGAGCTAGTTTGTGCTTGTTGTGAGCTTCGACATGACGATAACGTGCTTGATGACGGTGGTAATTTATTTAGAATGTCGTTCACTTTTTAATCTGAATATGCACCGAAAGCGAATTATTCCTACATCTCTCAAATTCTATATGGAGATTTTTATCACTTCCTACCAGCGGAACAGCGCCATCTCTGTGGAAAATGGCCGGACGATATGATTATATGAGGGTTTATTGGTAACTTGGTATTTTTTGCTGATCACTTTGATTGCAAAAGGAATTCGTCATCATCCAAACTCAAACCACCGATCTTATTGATTTTATTTAAATAATGTATTATTTATCATTTCCTGCGTTTAAATATCATACCTTTCATATGCGCATTGTCAGTAGTTGGTAGTAGTACATATGTGACCTTCGTCTTATCTGCACATTGTTTCCAAATTTATCGTTTTTGAAATGTCCCGTAAACTATTTACAAATGCAGCGTTTCCATTGGATCCGCTGAGTTGTAGCATACCGTTTTTTTTCTTCCCCGTTACGTAATACTTTTCCTTTACCAGTTTTTCACCCGCTCAAAGTCCATCAGTTTTGAATTATTTTCTTTATTAGTGTTGTGTTTCGTTTGGCAAGCCCCAAATCCCGAAATACACGTAATTTATTGTGGTGATTCAGAGTAGCATTTGTTTTGGTAAATAAATGTGTTTCGATCAGATTGATACAATATACAACTTTTAAATCTTCTACATAAGTGTACTGATTAGTTAGGTGTTTGTCACTTTTATTGGTATTTTGTTTTTTTTTTGTTTTTTCGGTTCGGGTACATGAAGTATTCTGGTATTTTTAAAATCAGGCTCATTCAACGGAAAATGTTGTCTGTCAGATGAAAAAAAAAAAAGAAATCACTTCATTAAATTCTAACAATACAGGTGACTATTTTGGTATTAGTCCAACATATGAATGAGATTAAGTGTGTATTCGTCTGTTGTACGGGTATAAATTTCTTCCGTAAGTACAAATCTCTAATCGTTATTATCATACAGTTCCTTTACTTTCAGAAAAAGTGCTCAAGATTAACTACTTGTATTTATGGTTCTATTCTTACATATGTTTCATTTTCTGCGTGTAGATAGTTATGCTTTTGTGTGTGAGTGTGTATGTGTGTGATCAATGGTTCTACGTAGCACTACAATACTTCGGTTACAGGTCAGGAAAAGGGTATTAAAAATGTTGGTGGAGGTTATTAGCAGTTAGAAAATTTTCTGAGTAGTTCAACAAACCGAAGTCAATTGGCTTGGTGCCGATATTAGAGGGTATTGCTTGGGAAAGTGCTAAACTGAACAATTCAACACTAAATCATCAGTCTATTTCATCAGTGGTTCATTTCGCAAATCAAAGAGGAAAACATCATTCCTGGAAACAAACATTGAGGTTATATGACATTGCTTCTTATCTGCTGTACGATTTGTATAATTGCTATAAAAATGTTCTCTCATACCTCAATATTTCAAATGACTGCCTGTCTGCTAAATTATTGCAAATAATAATTACCCACGATCATTCTTTCCAGTACATAACAAACGAATTATTACAGTAAGTACTTCGACTCCGTCTTGACTAGATCTGATTAAGTTGTATCAAAACATTTTATATATTTGGCTGAAATGTTTCCTATTTCAGATTTGTTTTTTTTTCGATAAATCCACCCTTTAAACGACTAGCTTTTAAACAACTTCCAAAAGAAAAACTTTGCTTAATATGCTCTTCCCAAAAATTCCGTTTTGCGTACGATTCTTTCTATATTTTGAATTTTATTGTTTCGTTTGATTTTTTCGTCTTATATTTCGTAGGTCTTTCAATATTTGAGCTAAAAGTGTTGCGTAAAAATTTAGTCTGTCTCTATCAAGTGAGTTGTTGTTTTTTGTTTTTTTTTCGTTTCAAATGCCTGATTAGATGAGTAGAGATTAGTAGTGAATAGTTTGATTGAAGAGATGAGAGAAAAATGCATGACGTGCAGAAATGTTACTAAGTGTTCGTGTGGTGTTGATTTATCCTGCGGCATCGCCACAGAATTTTTCCGCCATCACCGTGAGCACGTGTTCGAACTTGGCGTGGCGATCTTCGGCCGGCACGAAGCAGCCCTTGCTGCCCCAGAGGAACTTTACCTGGAATTCGGTGCTGAAAAGAGACAGAAAGTGTTGGTTTTAGACTCGGCGATTGAGTGTACGATTCATTTATCTACTGCGGTACACGGTAAAAAGTTGTCACATCTAATCCAAATACCTCTGCACTTGACTCAGTCTGTTATGCGGGACTGCGAATCGAAGTGATTTATCACTGATTTTCAAGTTATTTGCGTGTTGAAACAAAGTGATTTGTCGTTGAAAAATATGTACTGTATAACACCTTTAAATCAAAATGATTATCATTTCAGGTCAAATGATTATTATTTCCAGGTCCGAGTGTTACTCCATCGGCTGTCCTAAAAAAATGCTCCGATATCTTAGCTACTCCGTTGTCCTTGCTCTTTAACCTGTCTTTTCGTCAACAGAAATTTCCCGCACTATGGAAACGCTCTACTATGTTCCCTGTTTTCAAGAAAGGAGACAAACGCAATGTGGAAAACTACCGTGGGATTACCTCGCTTGGGGTTGAATCTAAGTTGTTTGAGTCGCTGATAAATGAGAGATTGTTTGCTTCCTGCAAGCATTACATAAATACATGTCAACATGGTTTCTTTCCTGGCCGCTCCGTGGAAACTAATCTCGTCAGTTTTACGTCGTTCTGTATGGAAAATGTATGCAAGAAACTTCAAGTGCATGCCATCTACACTGATCTTAAAGCTGCGTTTGATAGAGTTGTGCACGACGTTCTGCTATCAAATCTTGAAAAAATTGGATGTTCTGTTTCCTTCTGCAGCTGGCTTAGATCGTACCTCGTGCAACGTGAAGTTACTGTATGTTATGCATTGGAAACTACTCATTGTACTGATTCTCGAACAGATCAGGAGTTCCACAGGGTAGCACTTTGGGATCACTGCTCTTCTCTTTATTTGTGAACGATGTAACGTTTATTCAACTACGTGGAGGTAAATTTGTTTTTTGCCGATGACTTGAAGATTTATCTAGTTATTCGAGGCTATGCCGACTGTTTAGAACTACAGAACCTTCTTGAAATCTTCAATAATTGGTGTGAACGTAATTGTATGGTCCTGTGCGTCTCAAAGTGCTGTGTAATTAGTTTCCGTCAAACTAGGACTGCCGTTTTGTTTGATTATAACGTTGCTGGGACTGCAGTTCAACGTGTCGATCACGTTAAAGACCTCGGTGTCATGTTGGATGAAAAGCTCACATACACTCGCCACTTCTCAGCCACGATCGACAAAGCTAATCGTCAGCTTGGATTCATGTTCAAGATATCTAAGGAATTTCGTGATCCTCTGTGTTTTAAAGCCCTTTACTGTTCATTGGTACGCTCACTACTGGAATTCGCGTGTGTTGTCTGGAATCCCTACCAAGCAGTATGGAGTGGACGATTCGAAGCTGTTCAACGCAAATTCGACAGATACGCACTGCGCTATCTTCCATGGAGTGACCCGCTGAATTTACCACCGTATGCTGACCGCTGTCGTTTACTGGGTTTGGATACTCTTGCTAAGCGGTGAAACATATCGCAGGTCGTCTTCGTTGCTAAAGTTTTACTCGCAGAATATGATGTTCCTGAGTTACTGGTCACTATTAATCTGTATGCTCCTGCCCGAACACTCCGTCCGAGAACCTTGCTACATGAAGTAGTACATGCAACCAACTATGCTGCAAACAGTTCCTTTGTCGCCATGATTTATCAATTCAACGAAGCCTCTGACCTATTTGACTTTGACATCAATGCCTCCAGGTTTCGTCATTGTTTGCTGTCGGCCAATTTTTAATTTTTAATGAGTGACTATATTTAGATTTAAGTGTTTCATTGAGACTATCAAGTCACATTTGAATTAGCACCACTGTTTTCATCCATTGGATTTGATTTGTTTTGCTTTTGGAAGCAAATGTCAAAAACGCACATGACAAACATTAAAGGCCGGCGCACAATGCATACGTTTTCGGGTTTTTTTGACAGATAATGCAAGGGCTAACAAATGAAGTCAAGCGAGAGAAGCGATAATTCTCCATCACCACCGAAATAATTTGCGTTCTAGAGCGTGAGTAATGCAAAATTGTTGTTGTATTCAATAATAGTGTATTATATCACTTGGAAACATGTGATCTAGGTAGTAATATTTGATGGTCATGTTCTGAATAACATATAACAAGGCGTGCAGCGTCAGGAAAATACTGATAGGTGGATTGACCAATCAGGCAGTAAGATTGGTTGGCGCGAAAACGTGGCGCATCACGCCACGTAGCTCCACGAATAGGAGACAGGTAACATAATTTTGTAATGTAAGCATATTTAGTCTTTAAAACGGTAGAGCACACGAGGCTCTACCTCTTTTTCATCATAAATGTGTAACGTGTAAGATCGGTAATAAATAGTGTTAGCATTAAAAGTTCTTTTTAAAAAGTGAACTACGAAGAAAGATCCCTTAACTGGTGTCTGAAGTGGGATCACCGTGAGTGTAACATAAAGAGACCGGAGTGAAAGTTCTTCGAGGATCAAGTGCATAGTTAGAGAACCTAAACCTCTGAACGCCGCAACGACATCGACTTTTGAGAAAGCCGCATCACGTATAGCAACAGTTCGAGAAATTGGATCGTAAAACGCCGCAGCTACATCCCCGAAGACAGCAACTGCCGATCCACTCACGAGGACTGGACTGGATGAAATTAATTGGTGTTATACTGTAAGTAATCTGTCCCTTTAAACCACTATTTAAATATGCCAGAAACATGCAACGCAGAAATTGAGCAGCTGAAGCAACAAATTGCTCAGCTGCAAAACTTAATTCAGGGAGCAGGAAATGCTTATTATATTCCTGACCCTATCAAACAACTGTCAGAGTATTCAGGCAGTAAGAAAGAACTGAACGCATGGCTTCAGGAAGTAGATGAGCTCTATAACGAGTTCACAGTAAAGGGTGAACGGGGAGCCCCCGACACCTTCAACGCGCACTATTTTAGGGCGATCAAAAATAAAGTGAAAGGCGAGGCACGCGCAGTAGTATGTGCCAATGGAAATCCTGATACAATTGCACAATTGACGAAAGTTCTGAGAGAGAATTTTGGTGATCAACGTGATTTTGCCACCAATCTTCACAATTTATTTCATATGAAGAGAGGTGACAGAAACAACCAAAAATTTTATAACGATATAAAGGAATTAAACACTAAATTAAAAGCAAACCTACAACTACACCCTATGATGCCTTCGCAAATACTAGAATTAATGACGATAACAAAATTCTTAGACGGAGTGAGTGAACCACTTGCTTCTATCATCCGTAATTCTAAACCTAAAACGCTGGAAGATGCCTTCCAGGCAGAGATGCCAGATTTTTTTCTTTGCAATTCCGTAGACTTATTCAAATCTACGGATTTCTACGGTTTTTTTTTGTCGAACTTCTGATAGGTGATATTTTACGTTAAATGATAAATCGATGAAAGAACTTTTTTTAAAATGGTTTCAAATTTCGATTTTTCGGAACCACTCTTACTAACACGTGCACACTAAGGTGTTTCATTCTGGAAAAAAGATTTATATAGGCCACCCCCTAGTTCAGTTCATAACACAAAAACAAACATCTGTGCAAAGAATCAGCTGAATTGGTCAACGTTAAGGGGTCGCGCCAACGATTTCAATTTTGTTCGGGATTTTCGTCAAATTAGTATTGGAGAAAATGATGACCCACTTGGTTGGTTGTCGGTTGGTTGTCTTTATTTAGGAGATTTTTAGTCTTAATAAAGACAACCAACCCTCCGGGTGTAACATCAAAAGTTGAAATGAAATTAGCATCTTCAACTATCAAAAGTTGGTTTTACAAGTGCTATGTATACTTTTCTTTAAGAAATATTAAACAGCAGAAAAGGATATCATCCATTTAATTCCACTTAATAAATTTTTTCAATTACAATGTGCAGTCTTCATCAGTGTTATTTCCATTAAAAAACTTATCAAAACCTAACCCCCTTAAGTTCTCATCCCCTTGGTAAAAATGTCAAGAGCACAGGTATAACAATGTCATGGATACCAAAATTAATTGAGTGGAATTAAATGAAAGATAACCTTTTTCCCGATTTATTTAAATCATTCCAATAACAACCCAATTTCATTGCTTCATTTAATCATGGTCTTCAGAACCCTCATAAAACCAAAAATTATACTTGGGTTGTCTTCATCCGTAACACCGATGTCTTTAAAGTCGAAAACTTGCAGCTCACTGAACTCATTATCGACTTGCTGCCAGCCTTCTTTGTCAATTACGTTGTTGAAATGACCGAGTAGATGGCCCAAACTAGTGGATTGCTTCTGTTTTTTCGGCTCTAAGAGAGTTAGATTCCTGAATACCACATTATCTAATTGCAATCGTTTAAGCATTTGCTTAACCAGCTCCACATTTAAGCACCGGTTTTAAAATTCTGTAATTCTTTTCCTGTCATATTTTACGGAGCTGATGAGGACTGATACTTTAACGTCAAAGTATATTTCACCCGAGGGTTTGAGATCGTTGTTTTCAAATAAGAGCTCTTGCGGATTAGAAGCAGCGAGCAAAACTTGAGGTTTTACGAAATAGCCCAAGATTTGGTTCACTTTTCGTGTCAAAGTAGAGTGCATGGATATGGTTTCTGGCTTTTCTGTTTGAAAAAGTTTGTTAGTTTTACCGACAATCGGCAGAATTAAATTAAGCAACTCCAGGTCTTCTTCTTCTTCTTCTTCTTCTTCTTCTTCTTCTTCTTCTTCTTCGCATTTCAAGCTTATTGCATATCGCATATTAGCTTATTGCGTACTCTTAACTTAGTGTTCTAGATGCACTTCCACAGTTATTAATTGAGAGCTTTCGATGCCTTTACCATTTTTGCATTAGTATAATTGTGTGGCAAGTACCATTATACCCTATGCCCAGGGAAGTCGAGAAATTTTCCAACACGAAAAATTCCTAGACCAGACCGGGAATCGAACCCAGCCACCTCCAGCATGGTCTTGCTTTGTAGCTGCGCCGACTGAGCTGCACCGACTGAGCTAAG